CCCCGGCGGAGCCCTCCCTCCCTCCCTCCCGATTTCCCTGGACATGCCTGGCTTTTGGGGATTTCCCCCCGGACGGGGATTTGAACCCCCAAAAGCCGGACATGTCCGGGAAAATCCGGACGTATGGTAACCCTATCTTATCGTATCCGGCACTGAGCCGCTGGGTGACCTTGAGCACTTCACGTCCCCTCTCTGTGCCTCCCACCCCCTTGTCTATTCAGCGGTTTTTGGGGCAGGGACTGTCTCTCCCCATGTGTTTTCATAGTGGGGCCCAGATCTCAGTCGAGGCCTCTATGGTCATAAGGGGAAGCACAATCTTTGTAGGCTAATTTGCACATTGCTCATGCAGGACCAGTGACTATGCAGGAAGGGGGCACCAGCTGGCCCGTGGGTGGAAGTGGGGTGGAGCCGAATAACCATGTGGTGAGTATGGGGAGCCGCAATCCCCCAGGGGAGCCAGAAACAGACCAAGGAAACTGATAGCTAGTGGGGGCTAGGGAGACAAGGAGCCACCATGCTCATTAATGCTCTTGGGGGGATGTCTCTGAGCCGGGTCGTGGTGGCAAAGATCACGCTAACGGAGGCAGGATTATTACCCTTGGCTCTGTTAGCCCGTCCTGTTCGCCTGTCCTCCCTCCGCCATCCCATCTAGGGTGACCAGACAGCAAATGTGAAAAATCAGGACGGGGGTGGGGGGTAATAGGAGCCTATATAAGAAAAAGACCCAAAAATCAGGACTGTCCCCATAAACTCGGGACATCTGGTCACCCTAATCCCATCCCTCTCATTTTGCTCCTGGATGCCTTGAAAACTGCCCCCTTCCCCTCCTGATCTTGTATGCGGATTCCATGATTTCTGCCGACCGGAGTGCATTAACCCTGCAAACTTCAGCAGCGCTCCAGTAATTCAAAGGCAGCCTTTTAATTACACACAGAGAGAGCCGTGTGTCCCTGGTATTTACCCAGCATGGGAGAGAGGGGAGCAAAAAGAGAAGCAGGACGAGGCAAGATTCGTTAATTAACAAAGCCGGCCGCGCTTCCTTTCTATTTATTTTTTAATGGATAATTACATCAAAAGGGGCGTGGGGTGGGATCTTGCTGCGTTTGTCATTTAAAATTGCCCTGGAGGCTGCAGGAGATCTGATTGGACATTAGATCCCAAGCGCTGAACCTCCTAATCCCCAAATGATTAAAGCAACCCTCTCGCTCCCCATCTCACGCCTGCTTGGAGAAGCTGCTGCCTTCCTCTCTCCCTGCTGAGCAGAGGGGACGTGCCAGGGCTGCCAGGCTGGGTATTAGAGAGGTGACTGCTCAATGTGATGGCTAAGAGACACTGCCAAGTACATTAAGCCCTGAAATGTGACCTACCTTAACATGGTTATAATCTGGTATCTCTATCTATCTAATCATCCAGGCATTTATACGGCACTCAGCCCTAGGGGATGGGGAGGAAAACAGCGCACGCTAATGATGCTAACATATCTGCATTCCAGACAAATGGGACGTTCAAAGGAAGCTGGGGGCCCGACTCCCTTAAACGCCTTTGAGATCTCCAGGCTGCATTCTTGCCACACCACAACGAAGCCGCCTATTTTTGTAGGACCTACAGGAAAAGTCACACTTTGTACTGGTGTTGTCTTCAGTGCAGGAGGAGGGGGTTGGGCGGGGTTAGAAAACTCTTGAAATCTGATTCGTCCTTAACAAACAACACTCAGGGGTTTGTATGGTCAGACGTTAGCTAATGACCCCGGTGAGGGAGGAAAACATGATTCTCCCCATTCTACAGATGGGGAAATCACCCGAAAGGCGAAGGGATGTGCTCAACACCACACAGCAAGCAAGTAGGGTTGCCAGCTCTCCAGGATTTTCCTGGCCTCTCCAGGAACTAAAGATTAATCTTGAATTGAAGATCACCTCCTGTGATGAAATCTCCAGGAATACGTCCAATCAGAATTGGCAACCCTACAAGCAAGTGCTTCACTTCTAGCTCAGAATTGCACTCAGGACTTCCTGCCTCCTAAGGGCAGACCTCTATGCATCCCTGCCTCTCCCAAAGAGACAGCATTGCCTGGTGGTTAGGGCTCTAGCCTGGAACACCAGAGACGTACGTGCAATTTTTTCCTCCCGGACGGACTTCCAGTGTGACTTCGGGCAAGTCTCTTAGGCCCAGGCCCTCGAAGCTATTCAGGGGCCCAACTCCCATTGAAATAAAATAAACGCCTAATCATAATAAAAACCTGATACCTCTGAGGATCCGCCTCTTTGGCTCACTCTGTGCCTCAGTTTCCCCATCTGTACAATGGGGTTTTACCTGCCTCACTGGCGGGCTGTAAGGCTAACTGTGTTGAAGAGTGTGAGGTGTTCAGATAGTAGGGTCATGGGTGGCAGATCGGTACCTAAAATAGATCATTCTATTCCCATTGGGGTCCCTTCTTGGGGGCGGGGGGTGGTGGTGATGCACTGAAGATGGTTCTGATTCCAGGAGCTTTTCAAACTGCCCACTGCGTGCGGCTGGGAACTCTTTCCATAGGAGGGCATGCCAGCCAGCAGCTGGTCAGGGCAGGGTTGCGAGATCTGAACTCATGGGATAGGGGCGGTAACTGCCATGGAGTGGGGTCGATGGTCTGTGAATGGAGATGGGTTCTCGCAGCTCGGAGGGAGCCAGGTCACACGCTGTCTCTCGTGGCGAAACAGAAACCAATGTGCGTACATGCAGATTTGCGCAGTAAACCTCACTGGCTGCGAGGCAGGGAGCAGCTAAGCTAAGCAGATGGGTCAGCAGGAGTGGGGATAATATTCAGCGGTGAAGGAGATCCTGTAATCAGAGCCTGGGAGTAGCGGAAACCAGGAGCGAGGAATGACTCTGGAAAGAGGAGTGACGTTGCAAAGAAGGATAATGTCCTTTGGGGGTGGAGGGAAGGGAGATCTCAGGATTTGAACCGGAGCTCACTGAAGTCGGAGGGAGCTTTTCCGTTGGCTCCACTGAGGTTTGGATCAGGCCCTCCGGCCCAAGGAAAGGGCTTTCAGTCGCACTGGGGTTTGCCTGGGGAGCTGGAAACTCCCCTGTCCCCAGATCCCAGCTTGGGCTGTGGGAAAGTCTGGATCGGGACTGGGCCTTTGAGGCCCGGCTGCTCCTACACAGGGGCTTCCGCGAGGCAAGAACCCAAGAGCTGGCAGGGGCAGAGCGGGCGAACAAGGTGCTAAGTGGTGCCTGGCAGGGAGGCGTGTGGGCAGCACTGGGAGCCCAGGTGCCGTTTACCTGTGTACTGTTGAGATCACACTGGTGCGTCTCGGTGAACCATCCCGGGCCGCTGGCGCACTGGTTGATGTCCACGTTCTGCAGCTTGACGTCCATCCTCACCACGCCCCTGGAAGAGAGGAGCAAGGGTCGGGTGCAGCAGGAGCTGGGAAGCTGAGCCGTAGGTTCCCCCTCTTGCCTCCCATGGGACCGGGCCGTAGCACTAAGGGTCCCCACAGCTGTTCTGGGGCCCAGGGCGGGAAAGGAGGCTGCCTTGCGCCTACGCCCCATGAACGACACCTGGACTGAGACTGTAAACTCAGGCTCTGCCCGTGTGGTCTAATAGCCAGGACATTGGGCTTGGCCACACGGGCTCCCAGTGGCTCAGACATCTTGTTCTGCTTTCACTAAGGCCGTGGGAGGCCTGGGTTTTATTCTCGGCTCTGCCTCTCCATGACCCCGTGGAAGTCATTTCCCCTCTCCCTGCCTCAGTTTCCCCTTTTGCCCCTTGTCTGTCTCGTCTATTCAACCTGTGAGCGCTTTGGGGCAGATGTCTCTTGTGAGTTTGTACAGCCCCTAGCGCAATGGGACTCAGATTTCCAGTGGCTACTCTCATAGCAATGTCAGGCTGGAAGGGACCTCGAGAGATCATCCAGTCCAACCCCCTGCACTGAGGCAGGACCAAGTGAACCTAGACCAGCGCTGACGAGTGTTTGTTTGACCTGCTCTTAAAAAACCAGCAATGATAGGGATTCCACAACCTCCCTTGAAAGCCTCACTTCACAGAGCTTAACGACCTTGAAAGGTAGAAAGTTTATTGGCTGCAGATTAAGTTCATTAAATCTTGTCCTGACTCCAGTGGTCCTAGAGAACAATGTATCCCTGTCCTCTTTGTAACAGCCCTTAACGTATTTGAAGAAAGTTACAGGTCCCCCCTCAGCCTTCTTTTCTCAAGCTTAAACACGCCTGTTTTTTTTAACCTTTTCTCATCGTTCAGGTTTTGATCACTTTGATCACTTTTGTTGCTCTCCTCTGGGCTCCCTCCAATTTGTCCACATCTTTCCGGAAGTGGTGCCCAGAACCGGACGCACGATTCCAGCTGAGGCCTCACCAGCGCCGAGTAGAACGAGAGAATCACCACAGTTACCTCCCGTGTCTTACCTACAAAGCTCCTGTGAATACACCCCGGAGTGATATTAGCCTTGTGCACCACTGCACGTAAATAACCATCGTATTTCAGCAGAATGCGACCTGCAAATTGCAAAACCGAAACCTGAGCTGGAAAGAAAGGTGTCCTTGCTAGGTGAACCCTGCCCCCAGGCAGGGGACTTAAGTGGTGCTAACGGATCACACTGGCTCTCTACCCAGAGCAACGGAGGTATAGCTACATGATGGGGAAGGTGGGAGAGTTACACATCAAATGGGAAAACTAGGCCCCATTGGGGTAAATTCATAGAATCTCAGGGCTGGAAGGGACCTCAGGAGGTCATCTAGTCCAACCCCCTGCTCAAAGCAGGACCAAATCCCCAGACAGATTTTCGCCCCAGATCTCTAAACGGCCCCCTCAAGGATTGAGCTCATAACTCTGGGTTTAGTAGGCCAATGCTCAAACCACCGAGCTATCCCTCCCCTTGGTTAAGCCCGTTAGTCCTCTGACTTCCCCACAGTTGCACTGGTGTGATTAAGAAGATAATTGGGCCTGGAAGCTATGGAGCTAAGTATCCTAGGGCAAGGAGCCATCCAATGAAGGAGACGACAGAGAGCAAGGAAAAGGAAACGGACAAATTAGGGGGAGAAAGAGCGTGTGGCTGGATGCATGGGGTGGGGAGATAGAAAGACAGAGGGATCTTGACTTGCATACGTTGGTAGATAGATTAGATCTGCCTGTGGAACTCCACTCAGGAACCATTCATTATTTAGAGTCAGGTTTTGACCCATTTTCCATGCACAGGATGACAACCACTTCCCTTCCCTGTTGCATGTCTCTCTCCCTTGTCATTCTCCAGCCAGACACAGGGAGAGGCTTTTAATCAGCATGGATCCAGGAGCTGGCAGGGAAGGGGGAATCGCCCCGCGCCAGGTGTTGCCTGGGGGGTTGTTTGTTTTGTAAACAAACCCCGATAGGCAGGACAAGCAGCGTGGGCTGCAGCAGGCCTGCCTCTACGGGCGGTGGGCCAGCTGGCTTCCTGGGCTCCCCCCGGCACGCTTCTGCCCTGGATGCAGGGAGATGAGATTTAGGGCTTACTGACTGCTCAGCCTGTGGGTGTGTCTTCGGCACAGCTGTTCTCGAGGCTGAGCGATCCAGGCAGTCACAACCACCTTTCTATTTATATCACCTGCCTTGGGTGGCAGCCAGAGGCATGGGGGTGAGGTCTGGGGGGGAAGGGAGGTAGGAATACAGCCTGAATTAGGGCAAGGTGCGGGTGAATCCCCCATCAGCTCCCTAATCTGGCTGGCTGGACATATTACAGCATCTCCCACTAGTGCTGCCCTAAGGTGGATCACCCTTTTAATTATAAACCCCATTTAAATAAGAGTAGGGTTTCTTAAAGGAACACTGCCAGGTTTAGCGCCTGATCCTGCAATGAGCTCCGGGTGGGTGCTGGGGTCCCCTGCCGGCCTAAACGCCTAGATCTACGTTCCATAAAATCAATCCATCAAACGAAAACAAAATAAAATAAAAAACACCCCAGTCCTCCCCTCAACAAAAACCACAGACTTGTTAAGAAACCATAGAAATGACCCATAGCCTTATGAGATGGACAGGTTAGGATGATTTAGCTAGATAGATAGATTAGATTAGATAGAAATTGACTATAAACCATAGGTGAAACTGACGTGTTTTCAGCACTTGCGTGATGGGCTCTAAAGGTGAACACAGAGCATCAGTTCAGTGGTGGAGAGTGAGATTTGTAAAAGGTGTAATCGTTTGAGGTATTTGCAGTAACTCAGGGAAGGACATTTCATAGAATCAGAGAAATGTAGGGCTGGAAGGGACCTCAAGAAGTCCTCCAGTCCAGCCCCCTGCGCTGAAGCAGGACCTAGACCATCCCTGACAAGGGTTTGTCCAGCCAGTTCTTAAAAACCTCCAGTGAATTCCACAACCTCCCTTGGAAGCCTGGTCCAGCGCTCAACTACTCGTATAGTTAGAAAGTTTTCCCTAACATCTAACCTAAATCTCCCTTGCTGCAGGTTAAGCCCATTACTTCTTATCCTACCTCCAGTGGACATAGAATCATAGACTTTAAGGTCAGAAGGGACCATTATGATCGTCTACTCTGACCTCCTGCACAACACAGGCCACAGAATCTCACCCACCCACTCCTGTAACAAACCCCTAACCTATGTCTGAGTTATTGAAGTCCTCAAATTGTGGTTTAAAGACCTCAAGGTGCAGAGAATCCGCCAGCAAGTGACCCGTGCCCCACGCTGCAGAGGAAGGCAAAAAACCTCCAGGGCCTCTGCCAATCTGCCCTGGAGGAAAATTCCTTCCTGACCCCAAATATGGCAATCAGTTAAACCCTGAGCATGTGGGCAAGACTCACCAGCCAGCACCCAGGAAAGAATTCTCTGTAGTAACTCAGATCCCAGCCCATCTAACATCCCATCACAGGCCACTGGGCATATTTACTGCTAATAGTCAAAGATCAATTAATTGCCAAAATTAGGCTATCCCATCATCCCATCCCCTCCATAAACTTATCAAGCTTAGTCTTGAAGCCAGATATGTCTTTTGCCCCCACTGCTCCCCTTGGAAGGCTGTTCCAGAACTTCACTCCTCTGATGGTTAGAAACCTTCATCTAATTTCAAGTCTAAACTTCCTGATGGCCAGTTTATATCCATTTGTTCTTGTGTCCACATTGGTACTGAGCTTAAATAATTCCTCTCCCTCCCTGGTATTTATTCCTCTGATATATCCCATCTCTCCCATCAGCCTTCTTTTGGTTAGGCTAAACAAGCCAAGCTCTTTGAGTCTCCTTTCATAAGACAGGTTTTCCATTCCTCGGATCATCCTAGTGGCCCTTCTCTGTCCCTGTTTCAGTTTGAATTCATCCTTCTTAAACATGGGAGACCAGAACTGCACACAGTATTCCAGGTCTCATGAGTGCCTTGTATAATGATACTAACACCTCCTTATCTCTACTGGAAATACCTCACCTGATGCATCCCAAGACCGCATTAGCTTTTTTCACGGCCATATCACATTGGCAGCTCATAGTCATCCTGCGATCAACCAATACTCTGTTACTTCCAATTGATGCGTCCCCAGCTTATAACAAAAATTCTTGTTATTAATCCCTAAATGCATGATCTTGCACTTCTCACTATTAAATTTCATCCTATTACTATTACTCCAGTTTACAGGGTCATCCAGATCTTCCTGTATGATATCCCGGTCCTTCTCTGTATTGGCAATACCTCCCAGCTTTGTGTCATCTGCAAACTTTATTAGCACATTCCCACTTTTTGTGCCAAGGTCATCAATAAAAAGATGAAATAAGATTGGTCCCAAAACTGATCCCTGAGGAACTCCACTAGTAACCTCCTTCTAGCCTGACAGTTTACCTTTCAGTACGACACTTTGTAGTCTCCCCTTTAACCAGTTCCTTATCCGCCTTTCATTTTTCATATTGATCCCCATCTTTTCCAATTTAGCTAATAATTCCCCATGTGGAACCGTATCAAATGCCTTACTGAAATCGAGGTAAATTAGATCCACTGCATTTCCTTTGTCTAAAAAATCTGTTACCGTCTCAAAGAAGGAGATCAGGTTGGTTTGGCACGATCTACCTTTTGTAAAACCAGGTTGTATTTTGTCCCATGGAGAACAATTGATTGCTGTCCTCTTTGCAACAGCCCTTTGCAACAGAAGACTGTTACCTGGTCCCCCCGCAGTCTTATTTTCTCAAGACTAAGGACTTTGGGTTTTTTGTTTTTAAATCTTGGGGGGAAATCCTGAAATATTTACTCAGGTGAAATTCACCTTTGGGAATTCAGCAAGGAGCTTTTGTAAAGTATTGAGTAAAATCTGCCTATCTACCTTAGGGTTTTGTGTCATTGCCCATCACCATGGTATCTGAGCCCCTACGTTGGCAATAGCAAAGTCCGTAGTGCACTTTGTGAAGTCT